GTATGTCTCCCCATACTGTGCCCCCTCATTCTTCCTAAACCCTGTCCCCTCTGCCTCTCCCTCCCTGCCCTCACACGCCTCACTGCCATGAGTGCTCTGTATGTCTCCCCATACTGTGCCCCCTCATTCTTCCTAAACCCTGTCCCCTCTGCCTCTCCCTCCCTGCCCTCACATGCCTCAATGCCATGAGTGCTCTGTATGTCTCCCCATACTGTGCCCCCTCATTCTTCCTAAACCCTGTCCCCTCTGCCTCTCCCTCCCGGCCCTCACATGCCTCAATGCCATGAGTGCTCTGTATGTCTCCCCATACTCCTCTCCCTCATTCTTCCTAAACCCTGTCCCCTCTGCCTCTCCCTCCCGGCCCTCACATGCCTCAATGCCATGAGTGCTCTGTATGTCTCCCCATACTGCTCTCCCTCATTCTTCCTAAACCCTGTCCCCTCTGCCTCTCCCTCCCTGCCCTCACATGCCTCACTGCCATGAGTGCTCTGTATGTCTCCCCATACTGTGCCCCCTCATTCTTCCTAAACCCTGTCCCCTCTGCCTCTCCCTCCCTGCCCTCACATGCCTTGCTGGCATGAGAGCTCTCTGATTCTTTCCCCATGCTGCTCTCCCCCTTTCTCCCTCTCTCTGCCCCCACTGAGCTACAACTGCTGCACAGCAGAATCAAGTCCGCAGCCTCACATGTTACTCGGTTGGTTCTTCATTGCTGTGCCTTGCAGGGCCTTCGTTACTGGTTGCTTGCAGAGTCGGTTGCATGGCCTCACATGTTACTGGTTGCTGTGTTCCCAGGAGCAGTGTGATTGTTGCCTCTCACACGTGTGCGTGCGTGCGTGTGTGCGTGCGTGTGCGTGCGTGCGTGCGTGTGTGTGTGTGTCTGTGTGTGCGTGCGCGCGCGCTCCGCGTGACAGAGACATTGCGGTCAACAATCTCAGGTCAGGCCTTGACGTGGTGACTCAGATGCCATGGCTTGATACCATGTGAGTGGCGGTTTTTGCGAATTCTCAACAATCTCAGGTCAGGCCTTGACGTGGTGACTCAGATGCCATGGCTTGATACCATGTGAGTGGCGGTTTTTGCGAATTCTCAACAATCTCAGGTCAGGCCTTGACGGGGTGACTCAGATGCCATGGCTTGATACCATGTGAGTGGCGGTTTTTGCGAATTCTCAACAATCTCAGGTCAGGCCTTGACGTGGTGACTCAGATGCCATGGCTTGATACCATGTGAGTGGCGGTTTTTGCGAATTCTCAACAATCTCAGGTCAGGCCTTGACGGGGTGACTCAGATGCCATGGCTTGATACCATGTGAGTGGCGGTTTTTGCGAATTCTCAACAATCTCAGGTCAGGCCTTGACGTGGTGACTCAGATGCCATGGCTTGATACCATGTGAGTGGCGGTTTTTGCGAATTCTCAACAATCTCAGGTCAGGCCTTGACGGGGTGACTCAGATGCCATGGCTTGATACCATGTGAGTGGCGGTTTTTGCGAATTCTCAACAATCTCAGGTCAGGCCTTGACGTGGTGACTCAGATGCCATGGCTTGATACCATGTGAGTGGCGGTTTTTGCGAATTCTCAACAATCTCAGGTCAGGCCTTGACGGGGTGACTCAGATGCCATGGCTTGATACCATGTGAGTGGCAGTTTTTGCGAATTCTCAACAATCTCAGGTCAGGCCTTGACGGGGTGACTCAGATGCCATGGCTTGATACCATGTGAGTGTTCTCCCCTCTTCGCCACCTCAGCGGCCTCCTATTGGAGGGGACCTTGCTTTCCCTCGCTTCCCTTGGTCCACTTTGGCTGCCCGCAACACCTGAGATGTTTTTTTCTGGTGCTGCTTTGCAGACGCCTTCATACCAACAACTTCTCTGGTGTGCTTCCAGCGTCCTTAACGGCAATCAGTGGCCTCACACGCCTGTGAGTGCACTCGATCCATCTCTCACCTTATCAGTGCAGTGCACCAATCAACCCCTTTTGTCGCACCTATACGGGTCGGTGGCATGGAGCAACAGTTAGCGTAATGACTGGCCCTATTGTAAGGTCACCTGAGTAGTTTGGTGCATGATTTAATAATAATTTCTGGTGGCAGTGCTTTTTAAATTCATGGTATATGAGCGCCTGAAGGCATTCGTTCCCATGCTCCACTCTCCATGTATTTGTTTCATCGTCTTCCCACCCCCCCCCCCCCCCCCCCCCACCACCCACCCACCCTGTGTCTTGGACCTTATACAGGGACATTGGGAACAACCGATTTACGGGAACCTTTCCCGAGTTTATTTTGCGCCAGAAGAGCCTTGTATCCCTGTACGTGGCTCTCTCTGAACACGTAACACGTCCATACGTGGCCCTTGTATTTTTGTAACACATTCACGCACAAAAACGAGTTGCGTTGCACTTAGGCATGTGCATGCAACGTGTCAACCCGACCCAACCTGACCCGACCTGACCTGACTGACCGGGTCCAATTTTAGTCAGGTCGGCTCGAGTAGGCCTAAAGATTATCCCAAACCACCCAGCCCTAGAGTCGGGTTGGTTCGGCATATACCCAGGGTCAGGTTGGGTCGACCAGCTGGAAAATCCCGACTCAAGGTTCAGATCAGGTTGGGTCACATCAGGTTGGGTCAGGTCTGGTTGGGTCAGGTCAGGTTGGGTCAGGTCAGGTTGGGTCAGGTCAGGTTGGGTCAGGTCAGGTTGGGTCAGGTCAGGTTGGGTCAGGCTGATCTGATCTGGTCAAGCCCTCCAAATGAGTGACTCAACCTGGCCAAAACCCCCGGTCGGGTCGACCTGTTGCTCATGCTGCACTGATGGAGCAAATGCCTCTATTTCCTTTGAGATATGACGTATTGTGCTTCCCGCCTTTTCACCCTGAAACAACTATCGGAGCAAATAATGTGGCAATTGAAATGGCCATGGCAGGAACTTGGGCAACAACAGTTTCACAGGGACTATCCCCCGCAAACTGGCCAAGCTTCTCAACGTGGGAGATATGTGAGTGGAACTGCTGCTTGATACAGCACAGATTCCATCAGGTTCATCAAGGAGACTTGTTGTGATTCAACTTTGGCAACAACACAGTCACACAGGGACCATCCCCCGCGAATTGGCCAAGCATGTCAACCTGGGAGATATGTGAGTGGCGCAACTGCTTGATACAGCACAGAATTTCTTTAGGCTTATCAAGGGGACTTGTGAGTCGGCTTGTGGTTATGGGTGCACAAGCTTCTAAAACTTTCAGGGCTGTCCTTGGAAGTGCAGTAGGACTAAAAGGGATGGGATACGAACAAAAAAAGGAACAATCGCCAAGTAGGGCAAGAAATGACTCGGAATAGAGAGGATTTCTTTGGCAAGTCTGCTTGAAAGACGGTGTCATGTTGTGGTTCTTGATACCATTGCCCGGTTCCAGAAATCTCAATGACAACAATTTCCATGGAACCATCCCATCCGACCTGCTTCGGCTACCCATGTTGTCCTCGCTGTAAGTAGCTCCGTTATACTTGTTTCAAAAAGATGATTTCTTCCATTTTCCACCTTGGTGCATACAAAACCGATCTCAACTGTCCTCAAGTCATATGGTACTCAGCAATTACTCTGTTTTGCTGCCGTATACTAGATTAGGAATCCACATGCATACTACTTGATTCGTGAGTGTCTCCCTTCCCTGCATCGCCCAAGTATTCAACTTTCCACCCCAAGCTTGTTGCCTGTCTCTCTGAGGCCCACGATGCATGCATGTGCTTTGGCGGTTTGCTTGAGTTTCAGACTGCTGCATTCAGCCCCTTCACTATCCGCCTCCATCGCAACACAGAGAAATAGCTAACAACTTCCTCTCAGGGGAACTCCCAGGGACTCTTAGTGTCACAACTTCTCTTAGAACGCTGTAAGTAGGGCAGCGACTGGGTGGGTGCTGCCATTACTGTGTGTGCCTGGTGCCATTTTTCCCCTTAGATGCTTAGCTTTTATACCCTTGGAAGTCTCATTCGCTCCTCTTGCACCGTGCAGTAGCCTGGGCGGAAATGGCTTCACGGGCTCCTTACCTGACTTCTCACGCTGGAACGTTAGATGTGTAGAAATGTAAGTAAGCCTCCAACTCTGAGACAGTCTGTTCGTTCTTGTCCCACTCTAAACATCACTTGCTCAATCTTGTTCCCAGCACCATGGGGTTTGTGCTATACGTTCCCGCATTGCTCGGTCTTGTTTTTCCTTCACTTGTGTTGTGGATCAGAGATCTCAGCAGCAACAACTTCACAGGGTCGATTCCCGACTCCATCTCCACCCTCACCACCCTCGAGGGCATGTGAGGCTTCTCCTCTCTTCTTGTGCCACAACTGGGTTGTCCCCAACTCTCCTCCCTGCCCGCCTGCCCGCCTGCCTGCCTGCCTGCCTGCTATTCCCGACTCCATTTCTTCCCTCACCACCCTCGACGGCATGTCAGCCGTCTTCTCTTCTTGTGCCACAACTGGGTTGTCCCCAACTGCCTCCCTCCCTCCCTCCCTCCCTGCCTCCCTGCCTCTGCCTGCCTGCCTGCCTGCCTGCCTGCCTGCTATTCCCGACTCCATCTCCACCCTCACCACCCTCGAGGGCATGTGGGTGAGCCTTCTCTTCTCTTCTTGTGCCACAACAGGGCCGTCACCAACTGCCTCTCTCCCTGCCTCACTGTCGTGTACAAAAGTCATGTTCGAGCCTTTGCAGTGACAGGCAGCCTATGCATTCAGCACTTTTCTCATGACTCAACCAATACACCCCTTACCATGTCCTGCAGTTTACTCAACAACAACCAGCTGACAGGCACCATCCCATCAGCCATATTCACCACGACGAATCTGAAATACCTGTAAGCCTCAAGGGTCAAGGGACCCCCTTACTAAGTGCCCTTAAGTGTTCCCACCTCTGCCCCATGGTGCTTTCCTGCATCAGCCCGCACTGCTCTTGCATTGCATGTGCTGCTTCTGATCGCACTGTCTCCCTGACATTGCTATTGTCATTGCCCGTCAGCTACAATGTCTCCCTCTCGTCACAATTGTACTGCCTCCCTCCCAACCGTCTCCCTGCCATTGCCATTGCCCGTCAGCTACAATGTCTCCCTCTCGTCACAATTGTACTGCCTCCCTCCCAACCGTCTCCCTGCCATTGCCATTGCCCGTCAGCTACAATGTCTCCCTCTCGTCACAATTGTACTGCCTCCCTCCCAACCGTCTCCCTGCCATTGCCATTGCCCGTCAGCTACAATGTCTCCCTCTCGTCACAATTGTACTGCCTCCCTCCCAACCGTCTCCCTGCCATTGCCATTGCCCGTCAGCTACAATGTCTCCCTCTCGTCACAATTGTACTGCCTCCCTCCCAACCGTCTCCCTGCCATTGCCATTGCCCGTCAGCTACAATGTCTCCCTCTCGTCACAATTGTACTGCCTCCCTCCCAACCGTCTCCCTGCCATTGCCATTGCCCGTCAGCTACTTTAGCCGCATGGCCTAAGGCCCTACACTGTGTCTCCATGCCATTGCCATTGCCATTGCCATTGCCATTGCCATTGTGCACCATCAGCTACATGGCCAACAACCATCTCACCGGCACTCTGCCAGCCGCCATCAGCCAACTACAGAAGCTCGAACAGATGTGAGGGTGCTATCTGCCTTGCTCCCCTACGATTCTCAAGAACTTTCGCAGCTTTGTGAGCAATGCAGGCAGCACAGCACAGGTTTACAGGAAGATGTTTATTACAAACACAAGTCCAGCAAACGTCCTCACTGTGAACATAAAGATCAGAAACTAACAAAGAAAATCGGGGCACAAAACATTGCCTGTGCCATCCCCACTCCACCCGCTGCGCTTCATTCATATAACCATTGGTGCCTTAGCTCTGCCTGCCACTGCTCTGCCTGCCAATGCTCTGCCTGCCACTGCTCTGCCTGCCACTGCTCTGCTCTCCCTACCCTTCGCTCTGCCTGATTTTCATGCCTCCTGCCTCCTGCCACTGCTCTGTCCGCGCAGCTGGTTGGACAACAACAAGATTGAAGGCTCTCTGCCGACTGGCCTGTGCTCATTGCCATTGATTTTCCTGCGAATTCTTTGCCTGCCACTGCTCTGCCTACCATTTGCTCTTCATGCCTCCTGCCTCCTGCCAATGCTCTGCCCCCGCAGCTGGTTGGACAACAACAAGATTGAAGGCTCTCTGCCGACTGGCCTGTGCTCATTGCCATTGATTTTCCTGCGAATTCTTTGCCTGCCACTGCTCTGCCTACCATTTGCTCTTCATGCCTCCTGCCTCCTGCCAATGCTCTGCCCCCGCAGCTGGTTGGACAACAACAAGATTGAAGGCTCTCTGCCGACTGGCCTGTGCTCATTGCCATTGTTTTTCCTGCGAATTCTTTGCCTGCCACTGCTCTGCCTACCATTTGCTCTTCATGCCTCCTGCCTCCTGCCAATGCTCTGCCCCCGCAGCTGGTTGGACAACAACAAGATTGAAGGCTCTCTGCCGACTGGCCTGTGCTCGCTGCCCCTGCTGTGGCGCTTGTGAGTGGTCGTGGCGCTTGGCTGTGGGGCATTACTGTTTGCTTTTTTTATTATTATTATTATTTCCCAGCTAGGATAGACAGACTGTCGCTTATTGCAAGCAGTTTTGTATACCTGCTGAACACATAAAGCTGGAAATTATCAGCATAATATCTCTCTATGGTGTGTTGCCATTTTGTATGGGTGTATGACTCATGGTGCAGCATGTGTTGTGCTGCTGTGCTGGCAGCATGATCAGCAACAACTACCTCTATGGACCCCTGCCAGACTGCCTCTTTGACAAGTGCATCAACCAAATGTGAGCCAACCACGCGTTCTCAATCCTCACTACCATGCATGCATTAGCTCGCATCCTCACTCATGGGCATCGCAACTACCTCTATGGACCCCTGCCAGACTGCCTCTTTGACAAGTGTATCAACCAAATGTGAGCCGACCACGCGTTCTCAATCCTCACTACCATGCATGCATTAGCTCGCACCCTGACTAATGGGCATCGCAACTACCTCTACGGACCCCTGCCAGACTGCCTCTTTGACAAGTGCATCAACCAAATGTGAGCCGACCATGCATACACTATTCTCTCATGCGTAGATGCAACAGCTCGCACCCCCAACATGGGCACTGCATCGAGTGATGAAATGCATGTGCTTGCTTGGTGTTGCAGACCATGTGGTGGGAATCCTCCAACCAAACACTCAACAGCATGTTCGGCTCTTTCTGTGGCCCTTGTGCTTCCCACAGTGATGTGAGCGGCAACAGCCTGTATGGGCGCATCAACCGCGGCTTCAAGGGCATGGTGGCGATCAGCGGCGCACCAATCTAACCTCCATGTGCCGCCCCCCCCACTTCTTCCCACAGTGATGTGAGCGGCAACAGCCTGTATGGGCGCATCAACCGCGGCTTCAAGGGCATGGTGGCGATCAGCGGCGCACCAATCTAACCTCCATGTGCCGCCGCCCCCACTTCTTCCCACAGTGATGTGAGCGGCAACAGCCTGTATGGGCGCATCAACCGCAACTTCAAGCACATGGTGGCGAACAGCGGCGCTTTAATCTAACCTCCATGTGCCGCCCCCCCCCTCCCCCTCTTCCGTGCCTCCCACCCATAGTGATGTGAGCGGCAACAGCCTGTATGGGCGCATCAACCGCGATTTCAAGCACATGGTGGCGAACAGCGGCGCCCTCGTCAACCTGGCTCGCAACTTCTTCTTTGGGGAAGCCGTGCTCTTTGCTGCTGGCTGCAAGGTCTGCCCCACCGAGGTCAGCGAGCCCAACAGCCTCGGCCTCAAAGACACCTCCAACTGGCGAGTCTCTGACGGCAATTGCAACAATGCACTACCCTCTTACCTACTACAAGACTACGCCGTGACAGGGGCCGGGCTGAAGCTGAGGGTGAGTCTGTCGGGCAACTGCCTGACGCTCAGCCCAAGCACAGAGTGCTCGGTCAACGCCACCCAGCGCAGCACGGCAGCCTGCCAGGCGTTCTGCAGCATCACGGACAACGGCCCGTGTGACGGCCATGGGGTGTGTGTGCCGGCTGACCCCACCTCTGCAGCAGCATCACGGACAGCCTCCCCCTCCAACTTCACGTGCCTCTGCGATGCCGGCTACTCCACTCTCGACTCAGGCAACGGCTCCACATGCGCCATTGTCAACTCCACCACCACCACTGGTAACCTTTGCTTCATTCTTATGAAACTGCCTAGGCTTTCAGCACCGCCTCAGCCTGGCAGCATTGCCCATTCTTACGCGCTGCACCAATACCCATGTCAGCTGGCTTTTCTCCTACACACCTTTTCACTCCTTGCCTCACCTCGACACCTTCGTCTAACCACCGCCCCGATTCCCGTAACCTCCCATTCGTTGGCAGTGTCGTCGCTATCCACGGGTGCCATAGTGGGCATTACTCTAGGCTGCTTTGCTGGCTTCATTTTGCTGGCTTTTGTGGTCACATGGCTGCTGTGGCCCCGTGGACCAAGTGAGCTCTTCATCCCTTCTTCAGTTCCATTCATTTCCGTCTCCCCTATTGCTGTGCCTTTTTTCTGGCCTCCTTCCCTCCCCAGCTCTGCCATTATTACTGCATTTCAGCTCTGCCTCTTCGTTGCTCCCATATTCTGTCTACTCATTTACTCCCCTGGTCGTTCATCCCCCTTGTCCTCATGTGTGCGCAGAGAAGTGGGAGGGGTTGGATGTGTGTGAGCAGTTCTCGCTGCAGCAGATGCTTAAGGCCACCAACAACTGGTCGGAGGACAATGTGCTGGGCAAGGGAGGCTTCGACATTGTCTACAAAGGCCGCTCGTCACATGGCCAGCTGTGGGCCATCAAGCGCTCCACCATCATGACCAACGACTTTGAAACGGAGGTGAGGCAAAAATTGGTACTTGTCAGAAGACATGCACTGGGGATTTTCCGATTGATCCTAAGGAACGGTTACAGACACGTTTGTCTAGAGGTTAAGGGTTCACTCACCCATTTTATGTCAGTGTTGTAGTGGCTGAAATTCTGACATGGTATCAGAGCGAAGGTCTTGGATTCGAATCGTGTGCTCACATGCTGGCTTTCATGTGTCTCTGCTGCTATATCGTGTTCTAGGGCATCCCAATGACAAAGGGGTGTCAGTAGACCTGCACTGAAAATCCCCGATTGATCCCAGGAAAGAGTTCCAGGCACGCTTGCCTAGGAAATTATGGGTGCACTCGCTACTCAACAAGCCATTTTATTCCAGTAATGTAGTGGTTGGGGTTCTAACAATACTCCATGGTTTTCAGAACGTCGACCTGCAAATTCAGTGCGCGCATTCTGTTTTTCAAAATGCTGACTTGTAGCCCATACGCATCCCCCTGCATTGTGTTCCATGTCCGTGTGGCAACTACCGACCTGCATATTCAATGCCCACCTTTCCTCGGCCATGTGCGTCTGCCTGTATTGTCTTCTCACTATAGGTGCGAACCATGGCGTCTCTCCACCACACACACCTCGTGCGCCTGCTGGGCTTCTGCCTGGACCAGAACGTGGAGACGGGCAAGCAGGAGCAGATTCTGGTGTACGAGTTTATAGGCAACCGGGACCTAGAGTACCATATCCATGCAACCAAGCGTGAGTTGCACAGCCACAATGACGAAATGGATGCCATGCGGTTTTTTCATTTTCTCTTTCTGTTTTGCACAAGACATGACACCATCACTAAAAAAGCCATCATTCATAACGTATTTTTCTTTTTTCACTCGCTGCTTGGTGTACATATTTCATGACCTAGGTCCGCTGTCGCTGCGCCAGAGGTTGCGCCTAGCACAGGGAGCAGCAGAGGGCCTGGCGTACCTGCATGGGTTTGACACACCCATCGTTCATCGCGACATCAAGCCAGCCAACATCCTTGTGACTGGAGACATGCAAGCCAAGGTGGCTGACTTTGGGTTGCTCAAACGCCTCACTCACGGCGATGCTGATGCCACGCGAGTGGCCGGCACTCCGGGATATGTGGATCCGGATTACAACCGCACCAACGTCATCACAGCCAAGAGTGACGTGTTCAGGTGAGCATGTGTGCAGGGATGAGCAAGGGGCGAACACGAACATGTTCATGTTCGCCCCTAGACGAACACATCCGTTTGCCGAACCGAACACTGTTCGGTTCGGCGAACACTTTAAGCAAAAACTCGTGTTCGCCGTTCGCCTGTGAAGGCGTGTTCGGGCGAACCTCGAACACGTTCGTGTTCGTCGCGGGGCAAATTGCAGCAGCGGCCCGAACACGAACGTGTTCGGGCGAACATCGAACACTGTTCGGCGAACAATTTAAGCAAAAAAAACAAACCTGTTCGGTTCGCCTCGAACACGTTCGAGGCGAACCGAACAGGTGTTCGCCCTTGTGCTCATGTCTATGTGTGCTCGTTCATTTGCACAGCGCCATGAACTTGTGCACCTGTGGTTATGAATCATCCAGGTTATGTTGGAAACTTGTACCCGGTACCTCTCCCCATTGTTTTCCAAGTTCATTTCACTACTTCCAATGCATGGTTGCTTGCAGCTTTGGAATCGTGCTTCTTGAGTTGCTGAGTGGAAAGCCGCCACGAGTCGACGCAAAAACGCATATAAGCAAATGGTTATGAGACAATGTTCATGCCCATTTACTCTCAAGTTTATGCTATGCTCGCACAGTTATCCTTAATTCCTTTTATACTGACTTTCACTCCCTTTCTTGTTGCTATGCTCCCTTCCACCACCTTTCCTGCTTAGTGGGAATATACGCTCAAACCCGAAAGCGTATAGCGTATATACGCTAGCATGTGTACGCAAAACGCAATACGCTAGCTAATACGCTATACGCTATCGGAAAGTTTTTCGGGCTGCCCGGGAAAAAAATCGCTTGTCTACGGAATGATGCGGATTTTTCTGCTGAGCATTTCGCCGAAGTCGAAATGCAATTTGACGGTCTAGGGAAGCGGGAATGTGCCTTCGGAGTTTGCAGGCAGTTCAAATTTGAACATTAGATTAGTACCGCATTGAAACCCATCTTATCTACGAACTCCAACCTGTCAAAAACGTCCCCCACCAAACCCCACTCACGCTACTTACCAGCCAGCAAAATTCCAGTCATCATTTCTAGCTGACATTCCCGCCGACTTCTTCTTCTAGTGTCTACTCCACATCCCACCCCAATCGCCGTTCAGACTTAGGGAATTGCTACGAAAGTCTTAGTGAGAGGGAACACCTTCCCAGTGTTGAGCACGACGTTTTTTTTCACCCTGCCCGGGATAGTTTTTTACCTGCCTGAAAAAGCGTATTACCAACTCGACCCTTAAGCGTTTAGCGTATATACGTTACTGTATATACGATACGCATATATACGCTATACGCGTATATTCCCACTAAGCTTTCCTGCATATTTTGTTCCTTTGCACCTCTTCCCCCATTCTTATGCTTCCTTGTGTTGCACCCTCCAGGCAATGAAGAGGGTGGAGGCGTATGATCTGGAGGAGCTGAGGGACAGCAAGATGCCAGTGGTCAGTGAGGAGGCAATAGTCGACTTTGCAGATCTGGCTCTAGACTGCATCAAGTCTCCCGGCACACGGCGACCCACCATGAAGGATGTGGCATGCCGCCTCAGCGCCCTCATTGCCAAGCACTGTCCCGACAGGGAGGACGAGTGGGAGAGTGTTGCGAAGGAAGAGAGTGAAGGCAACGAGGGTATATCTTCAAGGGATGTTTCTGCTGCGTCGTTTGAGAGCAGTGGGAGGGAGGCTGAAAGGTCTCATGGCTCACATTCTAATGTGAGCTCGTTCATGCGTGTTGGCTCGATAGGTGATGGCCTATGGAGTTGGCTACAGTTGAAGTCAACCAAAGGGCGTTAAATATGGACATTATGGCAGTACACGTGCGTATTAAACATGAAATTCCGTAACTCCCCAAATATACCACCCTGTAGTCTTAACATTAGTTATTAATTATGGGTATGTCTTCTCAACGTGAACAAAATTATTAAAGACCTGGGTAACGGGTTGCTTCACATGACTGTGTCTAGTTATATCGAATGAAGTTATGTCTGGTGTTTCTTACAACCTTGTTGAACATACCGTCATCACCTGGTAATCTATACATGACTTATGTGATACTGATTTGAAGAGATTGCTTTCGTTATCCTGTAATTTTATTGATCCTTTAAGCATAATCCTTTATCTAACTGATATCTTGTATTACAAGGCTGCACTTGGAATTTCCACACTTGCAAACTATTCCATAACGAATGATGCACTTCTGCTGAACCGGAATAAGGGCGTGGAACCGGTTGCTGATTTGCGGCTTCAGCAAAATCAGGTTACGCATGAGAGGATCTGTTTTCGAAGCTTAAAGCTCGCGGCCCAAATTGCGGGGCGCGCTGGCCAAGCTTACTAAGGTTGACGGGGGTGATGTTTTGAGTGCTGTTTGGGTTGCGAAGGGTGGTTACGAGAAGTGAGATGCAATCTGATTGGCCAGTTTTTTTTTGTCGAATGGGAGAGCAGGGAACAACAATATGTTGATTGCAATTTGGGACTCTCGAAGCAAACCCAGGTTGCTCCCAGGGGTTTGCCGTGTCAACGAAAACCCCAAGGGTCTAGCGCGAAAATGGGCGAAAGGAAACAGCCCAACTCCCAACAAGTCAACTTCTTCTCCCACCACCCAAAGGTCAACCTTACTAAGGTTGAACAATTTGGGCCGCGAGCTTTAAACTTTTAGCAATCATCGCCAACAACCCAGTCGCACCGATTCTTTTGCGACTCATGAATTTGCGACTGGCATCCTTGTGTCCTTGCGGGGATGCGCAGGCCAGTTGGTTGGGCCTTCAGGTGGGAAGGAAGCACAACCCAGTGCCGGTTTTGTGCTAGTGTTCCGAGACCCGGTTGCAGTATCGTGGTAATCATGGTGACCAGTGACGTGAACCTGTAAAAATGTTAACGAAATGAACGGAAACCTTAAGAAGGGTAACCACGCTGATTTCCACGACCAGTTCCACGCCCTAACGCTTGGCACCGCCCTTGCCGTGTGCCAGCCAAGCCAAGTGAAATCTACGATGCTGCCACTGCGATCCTCACAGTCGATCGAGGACTGCGCGTTCCAGCCTGGCTGGTGGGCACTCCCCGTTCCTTGCGCTAATTGCTGGTACAGTTTTGGCAGAGGGTGATGGGCCGGAGGAAAGGGAGGGAGGGACTGCCTGTCAATCCAACGCTGACGTGCGATGGTCTTGTGTCCACCACTAGAAATTGGTGGGGGCACCAGGCCCCCCACCCACCCCATGCACAAGGTGGAAATATTTCAGCTGGAAAATCTACGTACAGTTCACACGCCTTCCGAGGATCTGATGCGGGGCGGTTTGAAAATTTTCAAACAACTCAGGCCAGGAAAACCTTGCCGTTGAGGGAGGGGGAACATTCACCGAGTTGATGAAAAAGGCGCCTGTAACTTGGAAACAGCTGCACCCATGCACCCCCTGAAAATTGCCCCAGAAGTTCAATTGAGCTCTCTTGCATCAGCACCAGGCCTCAGAATTGCAGGGCATTTTATCCTGATTAGCCTGTTTTTCAGGGTCGTTTTTTGGAACCACACTGTAAATACAGGTTTCAATGGTTCTACCACCCTGTCACGATCAGGCCTCGTGAAATTTTGACCCTTGTTTTGCAGTTGTTCGTTCTTGTAGCACACTGCCTTGGCCGAGTTCGGTAGTGGCAGCACTCTGACTGAGTTTTTTTTGTCCCTCAGCCATTTGAGAACTGGCTAAGTCGCCGGGAGACACTCACACATACACCAAAACAAGCATCGGATGTGCTCGAAAACTGGGTAAGTCCTTTCCACAGAGACACTCACCGCACCAAAACAAGCGTCGGATGTGCTCGAAAACTGGCTAAGTCCTTTCCACGGAGACACTCACTCAGATTGGACCGCTGCAGCCTAGTTTAAATTTTCACCCTGCCATACCGGACCAGAAATATTTCAACACCCTGCCATTTCTAGGGTACGACGCGGCAGCAACACTGCAGTGGCAGTGTGACTTCGACCTGAAACTTTGATTTGACAGGGTGGCACAAAACGAATCAAGACCCCTGATCAGCACCTCTCCCTGCTGGTCCCGCTCTCCCCCCACAGCCAACCGCAAACAGAATTTTGCCACTGCACCGAAACCTGCCGCTGTATATAGTGTCAAACCGTGCGCAACTCCCAACCACCCAAAACCCTTTCTTCCCTTTGCCATAAGCGTCAGATATGGAATCAATCCGCGTCCATTCCACAATGATTTGTCTGACGCTCCCCACTCGTCCCAGCGAGACAGACAACTCGAACATCAACTCTAGAAGGCTGAAGCCCTGATCCGCGTCGCGTGGTCCTTAATCCCATTGGCTCATCCCAACAATATTTTTCTCATTGCCGTGTCCTTTTTTTTTGGAACTATCTGCACGGGCCGCGAGTGCCACCCGGCTGACGACTGTTGTGGGAAACATACGGAGTTCGCAACTCTACCCGTCAATACGACTCGCGAACGTACGCGATGAGCGGTCACGACTCACGGCGAGTTAGGACGAGCAATCATAGAGATCCCACAAGGGGTACTTATCGTCGTCACGACGAGGCCAAGGTGGAACCAAGGCGGAAGCGGAGGCGGGGCCGATACGCAGACAAGGACACCCACCCACCACTGTCACCGCAAGTCACGGCGGCGGCCCGTCCACTCTTAGCTGTCGTTTCATTCGGTGCTTACACTTGGGACCATCGTCCGCTGGCGAGTGAGATAAGGCTGTTAGTGGAAGCGTCATCTCCGAAGTGTACCCTCAGAGTGCTTCGACGCCTGCTGCGCTAGTGTGACACTCGCGTCCCTGACGGACAGACTCCTCGTTTCGCTTCTAAACGTCAAATCAGCACGGCCAATCGCGAAGTTTGCGCGAAACCGGCGCCACCATGTTTTCGCCGCTGGCCTGCTTCTCTCCGCACAACTTCGCCGGCGATTTTAGTGATTTCGGCGACGATGTAACTTTCGACGAAAGATTTTCGCCAGCAACACCAACTACGCGGACCGTTCCGAAAATCCCCTCCCTCTCGTCCCTGCCGGTCTTCACGCGGCCGCTCACGAGCCCCGCAGCCGCGTGCGTCGCAGCCTTCCCCGTCTGCTGCTCGCCCAGCAGCGACTGCGGTTCCCGTAACGACTCCCTGCGACGCCACGTGCGACACATCGAGCGACGAGCCAACGACGCCTCGTGCGACGGTCGGAGTGAAAACGCGTCGCACGAATTGTCGTTCTGGGCATCGGAATGTGCTCAGGCGCCGGGGCGGAACGACGTACGCCCACATCGCGAACTCCCCCCGGCCTCCGTCTTCGTTCCCCCCGTTATAGTGCCATCGCTTACTAGCAACGACGTCGCTCGGCGGTACTTCTCCAACGGTACGGAGTGCCGCCCTGCTCCCTCGGGAAACGTAACCCGCAACAACTCGAAGCGCAAATGTGATGGCGCCGGCGGCGGTGGCGGCGACAGCGCGAACGCGGCGTCAGCGCGACCAGCGGCGGCGCGGGCAAATATGAAAGGCACGAAGAAGACCGAGGTAGCTGTTGAAACAGTCGGCGCCTCCGCCAAGAGTCGCCTGCTCGCACGACCATCGCTGGTCATCCCATACCCCGCTGGGGAGCCGTTACATTGTAACGGAGCTTTCGACTCAAACAACAACGCGTTAGCGAATTCCGAATTACATGGTCACCACGTGTCGCCGCCACACCGCAACCTCGCGGATAAGCCGCTCCCGTCGCGCAGCCGTGGAAAATCGAGGCCGCGCACAGCGCCGATGGGGATTGCGCGTTGGTTTTGGGACACCGCGACGGGAGTGGCAGGAACGGGCGGAGCGGGAGAAGCGGAAGGAGCGGGAGGCGCGGCAGCCGAAAGCCGGACCGGCAAGCCGTCTGAGGATGCGACTTTGGCGGTGACAGCAACCGGACGCCGCGCAGCGCCGGCGTTGGCGATTGACATCCGCGGCGGCGGCAGCAGCAGCGGCGCGTTGGGCGGCGACGGGGATAAAGCAGCGTCGGTACGGACGGCGCTGTACCCATCGGCGCGCAGTGAAGGCGGTGGCGGCGAGCGGAGCGTGCGCGACGTGCTAATCGTGGAAGGGGGAAGGCCGCCCGCGGATGCGGGGCGTGCCCGAGGCGGTGTGTTCCGCAAGAAGCAGCGGCGGGGGAAGGGCAAGCGGAGCGTGTTCGTGTACGAGCTGGTGCGCGCGCCCGCGGGGGGAGGCGGCGGGGATTATGGGGGCCGCGGATTGCCGCGCGCGAGAACAGCAGGCGCCGCGGAGAGTGGCAGTGCTGGGTTGTGGGGGACGGACGGCGCGGAAGGAGTGGCGGAGGGAGCAATGGGAAAGGCGCAGGGTTGGCAGCAGCGGTCGCTGGATCGAAGTGACACGCAGAGCGACATTGCTGACGTGGACGAATGGCGAAGGGAGATGGAGAAATATCTGACGGAGAAATTAAGGCGAGAATCGGGTCCGAAGGAAATGGGGCGAAAGGAGAAAGAGGTTACGAGAGAGGAAAGGGAAAGTGGCGGCTCGGAAGGGGAGCAGCACGAACGGGAGAACGGTAGCGGCGGCGGCGGAAGTTGGGGGTTGCGAGACGCTGATGATGACGACTTGTTAGGAGCAAGCGGGCGCGCTTGTAATGCGTACGGGGGCTGTGATGAAGGAAACAACAGCTGGCGCGATACAAGCAGCGAAGGGGAGGCAGCGGGGATTGACCAGTGGGACCTGGACGCGGATATCGAGGAGCACCATAGCGAGGATGAAAGCAGCGCTGTGCTGTCCGCCGCCACGAGCGGCGACGGGGGCGATCCGTGGGGCGTTGGGGGCAGCAGCGGCAGCGAGGAGCAGCGAGCGCTGCAGCGGCAGGGGCGAGACAAAGGACTAGTGATAGACTTGGGAGTGGATGGGGAGGAGTTGGGAGTGGTGAGGAGGGACGAGGATTGGTTTGAAGAGGCGGAGGGCGTGTTGCTGGTGGACGAAGGGCGTGTCGTGCCTTGGGAGTCAGACGGTGGCGAACGCGGCAGAAACGGAGAATGGGGAAGGTCGCGAAGCTGTGTGGAAGCGTCTGTCCGCCAAGCCAGCAGGACGGCCGTTGCCCGCGCTGCAGCGGACGCGCAGGCAGGCAGGAGAGGCGACGGCAGCGATGGCAGTGGGAGTGACGGCAGCACCGGCCGTGGCAGCGACAGCAGCAGCAGGCACAGGGAGGGTGGGCGGCCCGTGCTGCTGCGGTGCGAGGGCGTGCGGGGGAGCAACCGCGTCCGCGCGTTTGATCCCAGCGAGTACCTGCCTGCGCCCACAGCACCCGCAGCACCTGCAGCACCCGCAGCAGCACCCACAGCACCCACAGCTGCAGGTGGCGTGCCTGCGAGCGAGCACCACTGCGTGAGTGCAGGTGCAGGTGCGAGTTGGAACACACCCACGGCAGCCGGTGCAGCCGCTGTGCCAGAGGGCCGTGAGACTGCAGCGCAGGGAGGTGCGAGGGCGAGGGCACGCCACGCGGCGGCGACGTCAGCAGCGGCGGGAAAGAGCCAACACGTGTCGGCATGGTGGCAATTCGGTGGGGCTGATAAGAGCGCTGATAAGAGCGACAGCAGCGGGCAGGCCGGCAGACGGAAGAGCACAGGTGGTGGAGTGAGCAGCGGAGTGCATGGGGGTCGGTCCCGGCCGCTGGGACCCCCACCCACGCCCCAGAGCCCTGACCACGACGCATGCATGGAAAGCCGCACCTCGCACTTGATATCACCACCGGCTCTCCCCTCGCACGCATCAGCAGCGTCATCGTCCCGCCTACTGCCCTCTCCACGCCTCCCGCCCTCCCGGCGCCTCCGGCCGTCCCCCGGCCTGAGGAGGCAGCAATCCGCTGCGGCTTCGCTTGCTGCGGTGGAGGCGAGTCAACGGCAGCGTGAGAGGCAGGCTGATTTGACTGCACGAGCAGGCAAGCAGAGCAGGGGAGCGCGGGAGGAGTGCGGGCGAGCGGCGGTGGTTTTCCACAAGAGCAGCAGCACTGGCAGCAGTGGGGGGGGAGGAGGTGTCAGTGGCACCGGCAGTGGCACCAGCAGTGGCAGCAGCCAGGACACATCGAGCAGTAACTACAGCAAGAACAGCACCCAATGCCGCACCTCGCCCTCCTCATCCACCTCTCGTCCCTCTCCCCCACTCCCTTGGTCACCTCCTCCCACGTCCCTCGTCCCTCTCCCATCACCCCCGTCCGTAGTCCCTCGCCCCTTGCTCGCCCTCTCTTTCTCAGCTTCGGTTTCAGCTTCGGCCAAGCCTAGGCCTCTGAGCCGTGCCAACTCTGCCGCCCCAGCGCTCCTGCACCCACAGCCCATCTTGCTGGCTGGTGGGAAGCGATTCAGCACCCGCTGCCCTGCCGCTGCGGCTGCTGCTGCCGCCGCCGCTGCAGTTGTTGCAAACGGCGGTGGTGCTAATGCTGCTGCTGCTGCAGCGGCTGCCAATGGTGCTGGTGCTGTTGCTGCTGCCAATAGCGGTGGTGGTGGTGGTGGTGGTGCTGCTGCTGCTGCTGCTGCTGCGACTGGGAAAGCAAGAGCAGGGAGAGCAGCAGAGGCGGCAGGGATAGCAGGAGGGAAGGGAGCAGTGGGCCTCAAAGCGAGCGCGGTGGTTTACCACCCGCCCTTCAGCAGCTATCGTCACCAGGCTGACGTGGCAGCCCAGGAGGAGGAGGCGAGTCTGAGGGAGCTGGAGCAGCAGCTGGAGAGAGAGAGGAGGAGGAGGGAGGAGGAGGAGGAGGAAGACTTGTTGGCAGAGGCTGGTGAGAGGGGAGTGAGGGAGGTGAGAGTGAGGGAGGGCGAGTGGGAGGAGGGGGGTGCGTGGATGGTGAAGATGCCTGGAAGGGGGGAGTCAAGGAGGCTGGAGGAGCTTTGTGAGAAAGTGGTTGGGATGGGTGCTGGTGGGGTGGGGATGGGATTGGACGGGGTGGAGATGTGCTTGGAGTTGGAAAGAGGGGTGGTGAGCATTGGGCCTAGTGTGGGGGGTAGAGGAGGGATGGGAAGGAGCTTGAGCATGGGAATGGGGTCGAGTCCAGAAGCGATGCCGGATGCGAGAGGGAGGGAGCGGGTGGGTGTGATGCAGGGAGGGAGAGAGCATGCAGTCACATCACCAGCACCTGTACCTCCTCCCATGCGACGGTCCCGCACAGACACGAGGCAGGAGAGGCGCGCGAGGGAGCAGCAGGAGCAGATGGGTGCGTGTGTGAAACAAGATTTGGGAATGGAAGCAGCAGCGGCGCCACCCATGCGACGGTCCCGCACTGACACGAGGCAGGAGAGGCAGGCAACGGAGCAGCAGGAGCAGAGGGATCAGTTGGAGCAGATGGGTGTTTGTGTGAAACAGGATGTTGGACTGGTTCCCATGCCACCTCCCATGCGACGGTCACGGACTGACACCCGGCAGGAGAGGGGGATGAGGGCAGGGCAGCAGGCAATGACACCAGCAGTGAGGGGAGGTGGCAGAAGAAGCGAAGGGTGCAGCAGAGGGGAAGCAGGCAGCGGGCGGGTGTTGCGGCGAGGCAAGACACAGCCGAGCCGGCGCTTGGAGCAACGGGAGGGGGTGGCCCGGCGCAGAGAGGGAGACCTGCTCATCCGCACACACACGCTGTGAGTACTGTGGGTAAAGGGCAGAGGGCAGAGGGCAGAGGGCAGAGGGCAGGGGGCAGGGGGCAGGGGGCAGAGGGCAGGGGGCAGGGGGCAGTGGATAGTGGGCATGAGGCAGAGGGCTTTGGCAGTGAGAAGGGGGGGAGGGGGTGCCCCGGCGCAGAGAGGCGGTGCCCCGGCGCAGAGAGGGGGTGCCCCGGCGCAGAGAGGGGGTGCCCCGGTGCAGAGAGGGGGTGCCCCGGTGCAGAGAGGGGGTGCCCCGGTGCAGAGAGGGGGTGCCCCGGTGCAGAGAGGGGGTGCCCCGGTGCAGAGAGGGGGTGCCCCAGTGCAGAGAGGGGGTGCCCCGGTGCAGAGAGGGGGTGCCCCGGTGCAGGGGGGGGGGTGCCCCTGCTCATCCGCAGGCATGCTTTGTGAGTCCCATGGGTGGTGGGCAGGGGTGGTTGTGAACGTGTCTAGTGGCAAGCCACTCAAGCCTGTGTGGCAGCAGCTGTGTGCTCTGCTGCTGTGGTCTCTGCTGCTGTGGTCTCATCCCTTCTTCGCTGCTCACTCTTTTGCCTGTCCCTTGCACTGCTGCTGCTGATGCTGTGCTGCTGCTGCTGCTGCTGCTGCTGCTGCTGTGTGTGTGCAGAGGGCAAGACGCGGAGATTCTGGTGCTAGACAACTGACAGTGGCGGTGGGCACAACACAACGGCAGAACATGCGATAACAACTGATAAGGATGATGATGGCAACGCTGATCACAAACTGACAATGATGGCACTGCCATCCTGGGTTGCGTATGGGGCAAACCTCTTGCCACACGGCTTGGCAATGTTCAGTGGGCTGCTTGCAAGAAAGTTTGCTGGCATTCCATTCCAGACTCGCGGCTCCCCGCTCCTGTCACTCAATCAACGCCGTAGTGTTTCTGTCCAGTGACCACCCACGGCCGTGGTATGAAGGAAAGTGGCTCATACCGTATACCATACCACGTGTTACATGTGCGAGCGAGTGAAGATTGCACTGAGGAAGCAAAACAAGTACAACGTGTATTCAAAGGCATGAGCAAATACAGCAAATGGTAACGCGATGCGTCCGAGCTAGCTTGTGCAATGCTGGAAGCGAGGTTTTTTTTAATCGTAGGTTGACCCCACCGAGTGTAGCAGTGCGTGGTTTGGTGAAAGTGATGCGGGCGAAGGTTGACAACCACCGTTACCAGTAATGTTCGAAGTACGGTTGGTCTTGTACGCGATGATGATGTGTGATGCTATAACTGAAGGATCGTAGTGGATAGGTTAGTGGATAGGTAAAAGAGAGAGAACTGAGTCTCTGTAATGACCTTGTTAATAAATTGAAGGAGAACAAGATGATTATAAGATAGGAGTACAAAGAGGAAGTAAATAGCAATCCTAGCTAGCCATGTACTCTGAGGGGTACACTCAGGGCTCTTGCTAGGATTCAAGCCCGTCTGAAGACATGTATAAAAAAATTCGTTTGGTCTGACGTTTTGACGAGGAAAAAAGGTTAGTCTGAACTTTCAGACGAGTGCAAACGCCACGTCTGATTTTTCAGCTGAAATAGATAGTGCTCTGTTTTTTTTCAAATTGCATCGTGTAGTGTATTACCGTATATCGATTCAGGGCGACACAACCTAAATGTGGAAGGTTGTTGGGCAGCTCGCGGCATGCTGAGGGCAGGGGGGGTGGGTGTTGGGCTGCGACAAGGACTTCGGGGGAGTTCGGCTGGGGGTGTTGGGCTGTTGCGAGACTTTTCGAGAGGAAAGCGGGCTAGGCTAGGAGCGGGGACCTGGGGAGGGGACCTAAGGCTGGGGGAAAGGGGGAGAAGGGCTGGACTAGGCCAGTAATATAGGGACGAGGAGCGAGGGCATCAAATGGGGGGCTGCGCTGTTAGAGAAGCGAGGGATCGGGGGGGAAGAGGGGGGGGGGGGGGGGGGGGAGAGGGGATTGGGGTCGATATCAGACAAAATGCAACCCCCTATCTGAAATTTCAGACGAAGTATAAGGCTTCCTCTGAAAAATCAGATGAACTGAAATTCGTTATCTTACAGATCAGACGAAGTAAAAATCCTCGTCTTGAAAATCAGATGGAAACAAAAATCAAGGTCTGAAAATCAGAAAATCAGACCAATTTGGTCTGATAACGAGAGCCCTGGGTACACTCCCTTATTAACTAAATCACATTGCTACAGTAACCACGACTATTGCCATTCTAGACAGTTACCATGTTGCACTTCGTAACTGCATTGTGCGGTTACTGGGCAGTCAAGGGTCACGACCGTTGACTGTCTTCGACTGTTGACCTTCGGGTGACCCTCGACCTTCCGCGTGCTCTATATGAGCCATTGCGGTACTGATACAGGCGTATACTTCGTTATGGAGTGACGCGAGAGCGGAGAAGCTTTGGGAATGCTTATGATATCATTTTGGTTATTCCAACACTCCCCTTCATTCCTGAAGGTGAGCCACGTGGGATTTCTTGGTGATCCCGCAGAGGTTGGCGCAGTGCTGGAACAGTTGACGTGGCTGTTTCTTTGTCAGGAAGTCGGCTGCCATGTCACCAGTCGGGCAGTACGTGAGCTTGATCTTGCCCTTGTCGATTTCGTCCTTGACGAAGAAGTAGCGAAAAGCGATGTGTTTCGTGCGGCCACCGAGGCGTGCGACCGGAAAAACAGCAGCGGAAGCGAGAGGCTGGCCCACAGGCCAGGACTTAACAGGCTCTGATAGCATGTTGAGGTAAGAACGTAGTTAGATACTAGGTTTAGCTAGGGCCTAGGCTTAGGAGCCTAGGCCCAAGGAGGATCGAGGAAGATTGTGCCAAGGAGGGAGAGGAGAATGCAAGGAGAATGAATGTTCACTATAGCACTAGGGTACACATAGCAAACAAAGAGGTGCACCACCTATAAAGTTAATATCTACACTACAGCTAGAACTACATGCAGTTATAAAAATATAATTCTAACAGTACTTTGAGGGGTACATTCCCTTATTAACTGAATTACATTGCTACAGTAACCATGACTATTGCCATTCTAGACAATTACCATGTTGCACTTCGTAACGGCCTTGTGCGGTTACTGGGCAATCAAGGGTCACGACCGTTGACTGTCTTTGACTGTTGACCTTCGGGTGACCCTCGACCTTCCGCGTGCTCTACATGAGCTATTGCGGTACTGATACAGGCGTGTACTTCGTTATGGAGTGACGCGAGAGTGGAGAAGCTTTGGGAATGCTTATGATATCATTTTGGTTATTCCAACACTCCCCTTCATTCCTGAAGGTGAGCCACGTGGGATTTCTTGGTGATCCCGCAGAGGTTGGCGCAGTGCTGGAACTGTTGACGTGGCTGTTTCTTTGTCAGGAAGTCGGCTGCCATGTCACCAGTCGGGCAGTACGTGAGCTTGATCTTGCCCTTGTCGATTTCGTCCTTGACGAAGAAGTAGCGAAAAGCGATGTGTTTCGTGCGGTTCATGAAGCCGGGCTTGTTCACGACCTTGATCGCGCTCTGGTTGTCGCAGAGTAACGTGAAGTGCCTGTTCATCGTTACTTTCGCTTCCTGTAGGAGCTCCATCAGGTACAATCCTTCGCGAACAGCTGCGCTGGCGGCGATGAACTCTGCTTTGGCTAACGAAAGGGCGATGAGTTCCTGCTTCTGAGAGTTTCATGAGATGAGTCCAGCAGGTTAAAGTTGAAAATTGAATCCTGTGCGGGAGCGCCTGTTGTCAACATCTCCCGCATGGTCTGCGTCTACGTAGCCATGCAGCTGCAGGGTAGCTGTTAAGTTAGCTTCGTAGGTGAGACCGACGTCGGGAGTAGAAACGAAGTATTGAAATGCTCGGCGTAGATCTTGTAGATTCTCCCCTTCAGGTCGCTTCAAGTACTGAGCGAGCTGGCTTGCGACGTAGGAGAGATCGGGCCGGCACGTGACGGCGGCGAACAGGAGGCACCCGAGCTGCTGCTGATAGAGCCGATGATCCTCGAAAGAGAGAGGCGTGGTGTCCGGTTCGTGGTTAGGAGGAGGAGTGCGATAGGGGGTAGTGAGGTTGATGGGAGAGACGCCGAATTTCTTCGCGATTGTTTCGGCATACTTGGCGGCGGAGAGGTGAATGGAGGAGGCGGACTGAGTGATGTTGAGACCCAGGAATTGAGTGACGTCGTGGTTAACAGTGACCTCCAGTTGCTCCTTGATATCCGTTTTGAACTGGTCCAGTAGCTCCGTGTCGTCGCCAGTGTAGAGGAGGTCGTCGACGTAGGCGACGAGAAAGATGAATTTGCCGCGCGACTCCTTCCTGTACATGCCGAGGTCATGTGGCAGCTGCTGGAAGTCGAGCTGCGTGAGCACGGTGTGTAGATACTGCTGCCACAGGCGAGGTGCTTGCTTGATCCCATAGAGGGATTTTTGGAGCAGGCAGACGGCGCCGTCGTTCTCTTGCGGCTGATCGACAAAGATGATTGCGTCGACCGGAGCGTACAAGAATGCACTACCGGCGTCGATTTGACGGAGTGGGCGCTGTTTGACGGCTGCAATGCAGATGAGGATCCGCACTGAAGTGTGCCGTCCGACTGGTGCATAGGTGAGATCGAAATCCACCATGTGGGTTTGTTCGAAGCCGCACACCACCCATCGCGCTTTGTATTTGTCGATGGAGCCATCCGCCAGTGTCTTGATGCGGAACACCCATTTTCCACTGAGATTTTTTCTCCCCTTCGCAGATGTCCGGGGAACTAGCTTCCAGGTTCCACGGCTCTTGAGCGACGCGATCTCCTTGGCCATGGCTGCCTTCCATTTCTCACTGTCGGGGCCGGAGAGAGCTTGGCGAACGGTGGTGGGCTCCTTGGGGGAGGTGTGGCGAACAGCAACGGCGAGCCCAAGGATGCGGCGGCCGGTTTTGTTGGTCTTTTCGTAGTGCAGGCGATCGTAGTCATGGAAGCTGGTTACCTCGACCACGTCGTCGTCACTGTCGTTGCCGGGGCGGATGGAGTCTCGCGAAGTGTTTGGTGGCGGTAACGCGACATCTGGTGACTGGCGGGCGTCACTGTTGAAGTTGAAGGCTTCTCAAGTTGTATCATCGGGATCGGATTGGTGTAGACGGATGAAGGTTGGAGTTTGGAACGGGCTTGTAAGGTGGATGTTAGGTGCGCTGTCAAACTGTGTAACATTTGCTGCATCCACATCTTCCGCCAGGTCAGGTCCATCGTGTGGAGTTGGCAAGCTGCGGTGTCCCTCAAAAACCCTCTCCGGTGCCCTGTCAGCTTCGCGGTGTTCGTTGAACAGTGGCAGAGTCAGCTTCTCGCAGAAGATGCAGTCACGCGATTTCGTCACTTCGTGTGTCGCGTAGTCCAGCACGATCCACGCCTTGTATTCCTTTTCGATCCCAAGGTGGATGCCCCAGCGAGCCCGGTCAGTGAATTTTCCGGTCC